TATGTATGTATGTATGTATGTATGTATGTATGTATGTATGTATGTATGTATGTATGTATGTATGTATGTATGTATGTATGTACGTACGTACGTACGTACGTACGTACGTACGTACGTATGTATGTATGTATGTATGTATGTATGTATGTATGTATGTATGTATGTATGTATGTATGTATGTATGTATGTATGTATGTATGTATGTATGTATGTATGTATGTATGTATTTGTGTGTGTGTGTGTATGTATGTATGTATGTATGTATGTATGTATGTATGTATGTATGTATGTATGTATGTATGTATGTATGTATGTATGTATGTATGTATGTATGTGTGTGTGTATGTATTATTCTAGAATGTATATTTCTTTATTATATCTATAGCATGCATTATTGATAACAGGCATTGGTACTCTGAAAAATGAGTGCTTAGAAGGGCCGAATGTCAGACGGGCTTGCGTACCCAATTTGTAACCTTTTGAAAATAAAGTTTGTTTGTTCGTTCGTTCGTTCGTTCGCTCTTCTTCTTCTTCTTCTTCTTCTTCTTCTTCTTCTTCTTCTTTTTCTTCTTCTTCTTCTTCTTCTTCTTCTTCTTCTTCTTCTTCTTCTTCTTCTTCTTCTTCTTCTTCTTCTTCTTCTTCTTCTTCTTCTTCTTCTTCTTCTTCTTCTTCTTCTTCTTCTTCTTCTTCTTCTTCTTCTTCTTCTTCTTCTTCTTCTTCTTCTTCTTCTTCTTCTTCTTCTTTTTTTTTTATTCTTTTCTTTTTCTTCTTCTTTTTTTATTCTTTTCTTTTTCTTCTTCTTTTCTTCTTCTTCTTCTTCGGCTTCTTCTTCTTCCTCTTCTTCTTCTTCTTCTTCTTCTTCTTCTTCTTCTTCTTCTTCTTCTTCTTCTTCTTCTTCTTCTTCTTCTTCTTCTTCTTCTTCTTCTTCTTCTTCTTCTTCTTCTTCTTCTTCTTCTTCTTCTGCTTATCTTATTCTTTATCTCCTCTTTGTTTTTCGTCAGCTCCTTCTCCTCTTTCTCCTCTTGCTCGTTCTTTCTTTTCCTTCTTTCTTCCTCTTCTTCTTTTTTTTTCTTTTTTTCTTTTCTTCTTTTTTTTCTTCTACTATTTCTTTTTCTGGTTATTCTTTCTTCCTCATCTTCTTTATTTTTCTTCTTTCTGCTTCTTTTTCTTCCTGTCTTTTTCTTCTTTTCCATGTGTTCGTCCAGTTCCTATCTCCCATTCTCTTCCTTCGTTTAGTTGTTAACTAGTTACGCTTGCCTTAATATTAATCTGTTGTAATTAGTCAGTTAATTTTTATTCAAACCTCGTAATATTGCGATAAAATGCGATAATTCCTCTGCGCCACATTTGTAAGTTGGTAATTCATATTACTTTAAGCCTTGCTTCATCCCTCAACCCAGTGATTCCTAAACTATGCGACGCTGCCCCCGAGGGAGTCGCCACCACTTCACAGGGGCGCCACGAAATATTTGGAAAGCTCCATATTAATGTAACCAAGACACGAATAGTTATACTTTTGCTTAGGGTAGGGTGTCAGAGACAAATGTTAATTGAAAAAAAGGCGCCGCTACCAAGAAAAGTTGGCAAACACTGCCCTAACCAGTAAGTAGTTGTTTTTTCCCCCTGCCAGAAAAGTAATTAATTACTTATTTGTGACCTGTTAAGGAGACAATGTGTATAGATTTCCCTTCAGTAGGTTCCAACTTAACGGCAGGCTGGTCTCTCAAAATTTCCAGTGTCAGAAAACATCAGAAAACATATATTTTGTCGCAGCTAATAAAAATTTGAAACAAGCAGTTGTAATGACTGCACTTGTATCTACTGCAGTTGTGTCTAGAGGTTAGGTCACAGCTTAATCTAACTAGACTGCACTGCTCTCATCGGTCACACGACTTCTAACGACGGTAGACACCAGCTGATACATTTCATCAGTTTATTATCACTGTAGCACAAGACACGAATCAACAACGATGTCCACTTACACCATTCCGGGCAATCTCAACTTGCTCACGCATTAATGCTCCAGACATGCTTCAGACGATGGACATTGGCATATTCATGGCTGGCTCAACAATCAAACGGTGTAACAGCTGGCCTTCACTCTCATTCATTCGACTTTGATTCAGTTCCACGTGCTCTTCACTCTCGATTCATCTTCACAGATCCAGTTTCACACCCTTCCTCTCTGGGGCCCAGTCACCGAATGACCGCCTGATTCTCAATCCCCCAGATCTCACCATTCACAAGTGACTCACTCTTTCCTGTCGTTTCACCATATCTCCGTGAAACCCATGCTCTCAGGGACTTCCTCAATTATGCCCGCCATCCCCTGACGTTATCCCTATTTATAGCATCATTACACAGTCTTTTCCGAAACAATCACGCAATATTAAATGTACAAGGCAGGCATTAGAAGCGCTTGCAGTAGTCATTGCCAGAATTGCAGCTGTCTTTCATGGAAGTACTTAGTCACACAATACGAATGTATAAGGCACTTGGCCAGTTTGAACGCAAATCGACAACCAGCGAATTTGACTTTTCTGAATGCCACAACACAAACAGCTGCCGGCACAGACGAAAGACATTCCACACGAAATACACAGCTTACAGTGTGTCACCAAACGCATAATTGCCTTGACAACGACACCATGAACTTTAGTATATAAATGTGAACTCTTTAACCGAGCCGTAGCGAGAAACAAAAAACGATGTGTGTGTAAAGAGCCGCCAGACCACCATATTTGTCCTTAAGTCTTCGTTTCGGTTTAAACAAACAAACAAACAAACAAACAAATAAAATGTTAGACAAAGATAAAGAAACAAGTGGGATAAAATGTTTTAATGGACCATCTGTGCAGTAAATAAAAATGACCCTTATTGCAAGAACAGAAGAACATAAAAGAAAAACAAAGAAAGGGAAGGAGGTTAGGGGTAAACAACAAGGAAAACCTTCATCATCGTTGTCGAAAAATTGTATAATGCACAACTTTTGTCATTTCTATTGTTTTGATTTATTTCGCGTCTCTAGCAGTAATAGTGCCTTTGTTTTTTCCTGCAGGGTGACGCGGTCAACTATCTCTACTATGTCTGCGGTGGCAGCATGGAGGTGCTCAAAGAGGACCAGGTGGTTGCTATACTAGGTAAACAGTGCTGTCAACACTCAGTCTGACGTTGGTGTGAATCCTTTCATTTTGACGGCCAAGTGTCTTCGTGCTTTGTTCGACAGGCAACTACATAACTGGTTTAGATAACTACAACCGAACATGTTTGTGCTTGGTTCGCCAGGTAACTGCATAACAAGTTTAGATAACTACAACCAAACATGTTTGTGCTTGGTTCGCCAGACAACTGCATAACTGGTTTAGATAACTACAACCAAACATGTTTGTGCTTGGTTCGCCAGGTAACTGCATAACAAGTTTAGATAACTACAACCAAACATGTTTGTGCTTGGTTCGCCAGGTAACTGCATAACAAGTTTAGATAACTACAACCAAACATGTTTGTGCTTGGTTCGCCAGGTAACTGCATAACAAGTTTAGATAACTACAACCGAACATGTTTGTGCTTGGTTCGCCAGGTAACTGCATAACAAGTTTAGATAACTACAACCAAACATGTTTGTGCTTGGTTCGCCAGACAACTGCATAACTGGTTTAGATAACTACAACCAAACATGTTTGTGCTTGGTTCGCCAGGTAACTGCATAACAAGTTTAGATAACTACAACCGAACATGTTTGTGCTTGGTTCGCCAGGTAACTGCATAACAAGTTTAGATAACTACAACCAAACATGTTTGTGCTTGGTTCGCCAGGTAACTACATAACTGGTTTAGATAACTACAACCAAACATGTTTGTGCTTGGTTCGCCAGGTAACTGCATAACAAGTTTAGATAACTACAACCAAACATGTTTGTGCTTGGTTCGCCAGGTAACTACATAACTGGTTTAGATAACTACAACCAAACATGTTTGTGCTTGGTTCGCCAGGTAACTGCATAACTGGTTTAGATAACTACAACCAAACATGTTTGTGCTTGGTTCGCCAGGTAACTACATAACTGGTTTAGATAACTACAACCAAACATGTTTATGCTTGGTTCGCCAGGCAACTACATAACTGGTTTAGATACTACAACCAAACATGTTTGTGCTTGGTTCGCCAGGTAACTACATAACTGGTTTAGATAACTACAACCAAACATGTTTGTGCTTGGTTCGCCAGGTAACTGCATAACTGGTTTAGATCACTACAACCAAACATGTTTGTGCTTGGTTCGCCAGGTAACTACATAACTGGTTTAGATACTACAACCAAACATGTTTGTGCTTGGTTCGCCAGGTAACTGCATAACTGGTTTAGATAACTACAACCAAACATGTTTGTGCTTGGTTCGCCAGGCAACTACATAACTGGTTTAGATACTACAACCAAACATGTTTGTGCTTGGTTCGCCAGGTAACTACATAACTGGTTTAGATAACTACAACCAAACATGTTTGTGTTTGGTTCGCCAGGTAACTGCATAACAAGTTTAGATAACTACAACCAAATATGTTTGTGCTTGGTTCGCCAGGTAACTACATAACTGGTTTAGATAACTACAACCAAACATGTTTGTGCTTGGTTCGCTAGACAACTGCATAACTGGTTTAGATAACTACAACCAAACATGTTTGTGCTTGGTTCGCTAGACAACTGCATAACTGGTTTAGATAACTACAACCAAATATGTTTGTGCTTGGTTCGCCAGGCAGCTACATAACTGGTTTAGATAACTACAACCAAACATGTTTGTTGTTTGTTCGCCAGACACCTAAAGACTGATTTAGTTGACTATATCCAAAAATATCTGTGGTTTGTTTGCCAGGCAATTACAAGAATGGTTCATGTCAAAGCCCTACTGAAAGGGTATGGGACAATGTATAGACGATAAGACCTGTAACGGAATATGTTTGTATTTGACATCCCAGAGCTGAACCAACAGTCAGACAACTGAATTCACGACACGGGCATCCCGGGATTGTGTAAATTCACACGGGTTACCCAAGGCCGGTACCTGAATGAATTCATACGGGTTACCCAAGGCCGGTACCTGAATGAATTCACACGGGTTACCCAAGGCCGGTACCTGAATGAATTCACACGGGTTACCCAAGGCCGGTACCTGAATGAATTCACACGGGTTACCCAAGGCCGGTACCTGAATGAATTCACACGGGTTACCCAAGGCCGGTACCTGAATGAATTCACACGGGTTACCCAAGGCGGGAACCTGAATGAATTCACACGGGTTACCCAAGGCGGGAACCTGAATGAATTCACACGGGTTACCCAAGGCGGGAACCTGAATGAATTCACACGGGTTACCCAAGGCCGGTACCTGAATGAATTCACACGGGTTACCCAAGGCAGGTACCTGAATGAATTCACACGGGTTACCCAAGGCAGGTACCTGAATGAATTCACACGGGTTACCCAAGGCGGGAACCTGAATGAATTCACACGGGTTACCCAAGGCCGGTACCTGAATGAATTCACACGGGTTACCCAAGGCGGGAACCTGAATGAATTCAAAAAATAAAATGCGTAGGAGCAGAAGCTGAAGACGTAGAGAGATATTCTAGATTTTATCCTGTTATACATTAAACGATAGCGACGGTTAGCGGTTAGTAGTTTTCATGTGTTACATAGTGTTTCACGACAGTTGTGATGCTAAAATGTCTTACGTAAATAGTTCCTGAGATATTTGAGTAATTAGTGTTAGTTGTGCTTGGTGGTGATGATATTGACTATCCTCACGTACCCAGCCACTCACGTTTCGGACGCCACACGAATCGTCGTGCTGGTTCCGATGGTAAGGTGGTAAGAGCGTATTCGAGGTGAGGTGAGTTTGGGCCTTGGTGTTCATCCATGGAAACGTGCATTGGGGAGAAGAAGAGGGGGAGGGGGGGGGGGGGTGTTCATAAAGTGTAAAGCTCCTCGCCTCAGAACTTAACAGCTATTTTGTAATACCGTACTCAAGTTATAAAGATTTGGTGTGTGTGCTCTGTACGCTTTTGGTTTGGTATATTGTTGGATAGTGTGTATGTAAAGGGCCCGTATAACGAGCCATGGATTATTAGAATAGATATGGGTCCGTGAAAGTTTACAAAACTATAACCAAACATGTCTGTTATTTGTTCATCAGGCAACTACAAGACTAGATTAGATAAATATAAACAAACATGTCTGTTATTTGTTCATCAGGCAACTACAAGACTAGATTAGATAAATATAAACAAACATGTCTGTTATTTGTTCATCAGGCAACTACAAGACTAGATTAGATAACTATAACCAAACATGTCTGTTATTTGTTCACCAGGCAACTACCAGACTGGATTAGATAACTATAAATAAACGTGTCTCTCATTTGTTTATCAGGCAACTACAAGACTGGATTAGATAACTATAACCAAACATGTCTGTTATTTGTTCATCAGGCAACTACAAGACTAGATTAGATAAATATAAACAAACATGTCTGTTATTTGTTTGCCAGGCAACTACAAGACTAGATTAGATAACTATAACCAAACATGTCTGTTATTTGTTCATCAGGCAACTACAAGACTGGATTAGATAACTATAACCAAACATGTCTGTTATTTGTTCATCAGGCAACTACAAGACTGGATTAGACAACTATAACCAAACATGACTGTTATTTGTTCATTAGGCAACTACAAGACTGGATTAGATTACTATAACTAAACATGTCTGTTATTTGTTTACCAGAAAACTACAAGACTGGATTAGATAACTATAACCAAAAATGTTTATTTGTTCGCCAAACAACTACAAAACTGAATTTGATAACTAAAACCACACATGTTTGTTATTTGTTTATCAGGCAACTACAAGACTAGATTAGATAACTATAACCAAACATGTCTGTTATTTGTTCGCCAGGCAACTACAAGACTGGATTAGATAACTAGAACCAAAGATGTCTGTTATTTGTTTACCAGGCAACTACAAGACTAGATTAGATAACTATAACCAAACATGTCTGTTATTTGTTCGCCAGACAACTACAAGACTGGATTAGATAACTATAACCAAACATGTGTGTTATTTGTTTACCAGACAACTACAAGACTGGATTAGATAACTATAACCAAACATGTGTGTTATTTGTTTACCAGACAACTACAAGACTGGATTAGATAACTATAACCAAACATGTGTGTTATTTGTTTACCAGACAACTACAAGATTAGATAACTATAACCAAACATGTGTGTTATTTGTTTACCAGACAACTACAAGATTAGATAACTATAACCAAACATGTGTGTTATTTGTTTACCAGACAACTACAAGATTAGATAACTATAACCAAACATGTGTGTTATTTGTTTACCAGACAACTACAAGATTAGATAACTATAACCAAACATGTGTGTTATTTGTTTACCAGACAACTACAAGATTAGATAACTATAACCAAACATGTGTGTTATTTGTTTACCAGACAACTACAAGATTAGATAACTATAACCAAACATGTGTGTTATTTGTTTACCAGACAACTACAAGATTAGATAACTATAACCAAACATGTCTGTTACAGGCAAGGGGGACATGTTTGGAAGTGACCTTGACTATGACGACCCGGTCAGTGTTAGCGGATGTGACGTCAGATCTTTAGCCTATTGTGAACTCCTGTGTATACAGGTGAGTCCATTGTAGGTGTTTCACTGATGAATTTAAATAGTGACACTAATGAAGCATTGTAAGAAGCTTTAAATTAATCACCTTATTAGTGCATTGGCAAGTAGTAATAGTATCAATTGTTGTTGATACTTTTGTTGTTGCAGCTGTAGTAGTAGTAGTTGTTGTAGTAGTAGTAGTAGTATTAGTAGTAGTAGTAGTAGTTGTTGTAGTAGTAGTATTAGTATTAGTAGTAGTAGTTGTTGTAGTAGTAGTATTAGTAGTAGTAGTAGTAGTTGTTGTAGTAGTAGTATTAGTAGTAGTAGTAGTAGTAGTTGTAGTAGTAGTATTAGTATTAGTAGTAGTAGTTGTTGTAGTAGTAGTATTAGTATTAGTAGTAGTAGTAGTATTAGTAGTAGTAGTAGTAGTAGTTGTTGTAGTAGTAGTATTAGTATTAGTAGTAGTAGTAGTTGTTGTTGTTGTAGTAGTAGTATTAGTAGTAGTAGTAGTAGTTGTTGTTGTTGTTGTTGTTGTTGTAGTATTAGTAGTAATAGAAGTAGTAGTAGTAGTAGTAGTAGTAGTAGTAGTAGTAGTAGTAGTAGTAGTAGTAGTAGTAGTAGTAGTAGTAGTAGTAGTAGTAGTAGTAGTAGTCGCAGTTGTTGTTGTATTTTTTGTGTTTTCTTGTAGTAGTAGTAATATAGTAGTAGTAGTAGTAGTAGTCGCAGTTGTATTTTTTGTGTGTTCATGTAGTAGTAGTTGTAGTAGTAGTAATATAGTAGTAGTAGCATGCAGCAGTATCAGTAATATTAGGAGCAGCAGTAGCAGCGGTAATTGTGGTAGTGGCACAGCAGAAGCAGTTGTGGTAGCAGTTGTAGTAGCAGTTGTGGTAGCAGTTGTGGTAGCAGGTGTAGTACCAATACTAACAGTGGTCGTAGCAGTAGGAATCTAAATATTGGTAGACTTAGCAGTAGTAGTAGTGCTAGTATTTGCAATACTAGCTGAAGTAGCAGCAGACTACAATTTGTGTTCCGAGATTTGGGTAGCCATTATAGTTGTCAGCACCGATATAACAATATTTTTTCGTGTCACTGATACACACACACACTCACACACACTCACACACGCATACACCAAACACACACACGCATACAAACCAAACACACGCACACACACAAACACACACACGCATACACCAAACACGCGCACACAAACCAAACACACGAATCACACACACGCACATACATACGCACAAACACACACACGAGCTAGCGGGGAGGGTAAAGAGAAAACAAAGAAAGAGACAATAAGTAGTTCCCGCTGGACTGCAAAACAAGGACAGAAAAAGGGAAGACAATGGTTATTCTTGTGCAGGGACATGGAAATATTTCGTATGGACAAGTAATAAATATGTTTTAATTAGTCAAAGATCAAAAACAACAACGACAACACGTAACTACACAGGCAGCACCAATAACAAACCAAGCACACGAACAACAAAGGCTGCACCTATAAAAGACTAAGCACACGAACTACACAGGCGGCACCTGGTAATCTGGTAATCCTAGTTTCAGCTTCATAGGCGGCACCTATAACAGACCACGCACACGAACTACAAAGGTTTCACCTATAACAGACCAGGCACACGAACTACACAGGCAGCACCTATAACAGACCACGCACACGAACTACAAAGGTTGCACCTATGACAGACCGAGCACACGAACTACAAAGGTTGCACATATAACACACCAAGCACAGAACTACACAGGCAGCACCTATAACAGACCAAGCACAGGAACTACACATGCAGCACCTATAATAGACCTGGCGCACGAACTACACAGACAGCACCTATAACAGACCAGGCGCACGAACTACACAGGCAGCACCTATAATACACCAGGCACACGAACTACACAGGCAGCACATATAACAGACCAGGCACACGAACTATACAGGCACCACTTATACCAGACCAAGCACGCAAACTGCACACACAGCACCTATAACAGACCTCGCACACGAACTACACAGGCATCACCTATAACAGACCAAGCACGCGAACTATACAGACAGCACCTTTTACAGACCTCGCACACGAACTATACAGGCAGCACTTATGCCAGACCAAGCACGCGAACTATACAGACAGCTCCTATAACAGACTAAGCACACGAACTACACGGGCAGCACTTATAACAGACTAAGCACACGAACTACACGGGCAGCACTTATACCAGACCAAGCACGCGAACTATACAGACAGCACCTATAACAGACTAAGCACACGAACTACACAGGCAGCACCTATAACAGACTAAGGACACGAACTACACAGGCAGCACCTATAACAGACCAGGCACACGAACTACACAGGCAGCACCTATAACAGACTAGGCACACGAACTACACAGGCAGCACCTATAACAGACTAAGCATACGAACTACACACGCAGCACCTATAACAGACCAGGCACACGAACTACACAGGCAGCACCTATAACAGACTATGCATACGAACTATACAGGCAGCACTTATACCAGACCAAGCACGCGAACTGCACAGACAGCACCTATAACAGACCTCGCACACGAACTACACAGGCAGCACTTATACCAGACCAAGCACGCGAACTATACAGACAGCACCTATAACAGACTAAGCACACGAACTACACAGCAGCACCTATAACAGACTAAGCACACGAATTACACAGGCAG